TCGAATTTCGACTTCGACCATCAACCAGACGTGCCTTCTTCTTTTTTTCCTTCTTTTTCTTCTTGTCGTCCTGTAAACAAGGCTTTCCGACGTGTGGAACAGTTCCTGCAGCATGCGAGTTTCCCTAGAAACTCTGTGGCCGATGGCCTCTTCCGCCTTTGGCTTCGGCGGCCTTGGTCCGTGGGGTTTTGGAGTTTAGGGTTCAGGCCTGAGGGTTTGAGGCTTGAGGGTTGAACGATTTAGAGGGTTCAGGGCTTAATGACTCGCATTCCAAGAGAGCTCGGGGTTGAGGCTGCTAAACCACTCTAAAGCCGCAAACCCTCGAACCGGAAAGGCAAACGGCCCTAAACCCTAAACCCCCTAAAACCCTAAACTCAAGCCTCAGCCCTCAAGCCCCCTAGGCCTGAATCCCTAGAGCCCTCGGTCTTAAACCTTAAGACCCTTTCAGCCTTACACACCTCAAACTTAAAGCCCGAGCCCACCAACCCCAGTGTCCGAACTCTGTCTAATGTGGAAGCCAGAAGTTCTGAACCCCCCTCTCTTTGTCAGGTTTAGGGTTTAGGGTTTAGGGTTTTGTTTTGCTGATCCCCAATAATGCAAAGCCTGACTGGGGCCACAAGTGTCGGGTTCTGGACTTAACCGCTTATGCGGGGAGGCCACGCCATCGAATCCCCTAGAGGGTGGTAGCCCAATAATGACAAGGATTTGGGCGGTCCTCAACAATGCTAAGCTTGCGGGCTCACGGATGTCCTTAGACCCTAGACCCTAGACCCTAAACCCTAAACCCTAAACCCTAAACCCAAACCCTAAACCCTAAACCGATGTCGAGTGGCTATTTATTAGAGGCCTGGAGCCTTCAGGTGCCCCAAACCTGTTGTGCAAAGGAAGCACGCCTGATTCTGTGGATGACACTGAGCTATTACTGTTGCTACTACTACTACTACTACGAATAATTAACCTAATAGTATACAAATAATCCCATTCCTAATTACTACCAATCCGTACCGGGACCCCCAAAATAAATCCGAGTCAACTTATTATTGTGAACCTCCCCAGGTGTTTAGGGGAGAGGGCCCCCCCCCCCCC